GCTGGGCAGTGCTGGGCATTGCTGGGCAGTGCTGGGCAGTGCTGGGCAGTGCTGGGTGTTGCTGGGCACTGCTGGGTGTTGCTGGGCACTGCTGGGTGTTACTGAGCAACGTGGGAAGCCCTGTGTGCCCTGGCACTGAGGAGAGGCCCACAGCCCACCAGATCCCCCCCCGTGAGGCCAGCAGCAGCTCAAGGTGGCTCTCGTACCTCGTGCTCCAGAGAGCTGTACTCGCCCTCCGTCTGCTCGCGGATGATGACGAGGTCCAGGTTGTTGTGACGTGTCTTATAGCCCGGCAAGCTCTTCACGTGGACGACGTTTGCAAACAAGTCCAATTTGCGCCTGCAACAGAAGAGCAGCAGTCAGCACTTGACCACGAGCTATTCCTGGAGCAGGGGCTGCTCCTGGCAGGCGCTGGAGGTGCCAGCAGGGCACGGTGCAAACTGCAAGCTGTCCCCTGGGGTGGCACACAGCCACTGCTCCAGCTACCCTTGATCTCAAGGACGCAGAGCTGGCTCTGGCCGCCCCGTGTCGAGGCGGCTCGCTGCGTCCACCGCTCTGCCACCTCCCTCCCCTCTGAAGGCCCCCAGGGCAGCAGGCAGTGGGGTGGCACTCAGAAGAGGCAGCTCCCAGCCGCAGCTCCTCAGGATCTCTGGCTCCCTGGTGACACGTGGACCCGTCTGCCCTGGGCTCTCCTTCAGCCCCGTTTCAATGCCACAGCGCCAGGACCGGTGCAAAGCCATTTCTTGGTGCTCTGTCCCTTCCCAGCCCCAGCAGCCAAGCCAAGGTGCTGGGCTCACCTCAGTCTCATGTCGTAAGAAGCCAGCTCTCCCTTGTACTCCATGGGGGTGTGGATCTTGCCTGCAGGGACAACAGCGAGCAGTAAGAACACAGAGTGCACTGACAGCTGCTCGGGACAAATCTGAACCCGGGTGAGAAGGCAGCAGGGAAGGGAGGCTTTCCACAAAGCCCAGGACAGGACAAAGATGCAGTTGCATTACACGGACCCAGATGAGGCCCTTTGTTTCCGCAGGCCACGCCAGGAGGTCTCCTTTCAGAAGCAGAAGTTGGACATAACCTCTGCATTGACGAGCCACACAAGTAGAGGTAAACTGCTTCTTTGTTAAAGAGAAGCATTTCCTGCCCTCCGAAAGCACCCACAGCTTCTGAGATTGGTGCAGCTCTCCTTGCTGGACAGGCAGCGAGCGCAGGTCCTCACCTATAAGGGCCACTTTGCTCTCCTTCATGGAGTCCACCACCTGGTCCAGCTTCTCCTCCGAGGCCATGTTCTGCACCTCACTCAGGTGGTGCTCATCGAAGACCACGGGCACGCTGGCAGCCTGCACCAGACACAAAGGGCAACAGCCTCAGCAGGGTCCCTTCCAACACACTACAGGAGGCAAACGACGGCGGGGCTCAGAGCGTTGAGGCACGAAATTCCACCAGGCAGAAGCTCCTGGGGGAGGAGAGCGAACCGAACGCAACCTGCTGCACCTCAGCTCACTGCTTGCATCTCAGCTGGGACTGAAATGGCGGCACAGTGGCGTTTCTGCCACCTCTCACATCAGCACTCCCTGCCCTCGGGGTCATTTCGGTTTTCTAACACAGCAGACAACGCTGTTTGTTCTCCATTCTGTGACCAACCCACTGTGCAGCAGAACGCCGCTCAATTCTCGCTCCTGCCCCGACTCACAGCTGGCAAAGCCTTCGCCATGAAGAACGAACCGTTTGCAAGAAGCTGCACCTTTCTAGGCAAGGGAAAGACCTCAGGCTGCTCACAGCCCAGGCTGCAGGATGCAGGCAGGCTGCCCCCCCGGCTCAGCAGCACCTCTAAGCAGTTCTGCAGCTGCCACCCTTGGCCCCGCTGCTCTGAGAGGCGGCACACCTTACCTTGAACACCTCCTTGACGGCGTGCATCAGCTCCGGGCCCACGCCGTCCCCAGGCAGCATGGTGACCTGGAAGGTGCTCTCTGACTTTGCATTTTCTGACTGCAAGGAGAGAAAACGACAGTCCCAGGTAATGCCATGCCATCCCCAGCCCGCGTGCAGGAAGGCAGAGGAAGGTCGCCGACAGCACGGTGCACCCTTTGCACAGTCATTCATTACACAGCCCCTGCCCCACTGCCACCCCAGACCCTTCCTCACACAGCATCCCCTGCTCTGCTCCCCCTCTGCACACACAGGGAGCACTCGCTGCTGCAGCTCACAGTGCACTGCTGCTTCACTAAGTGTTCCTTCACCTCTACTTTTGTCTGCAGGATCACCTCATCTTCCCGTGTGAAGCCCCGTCCTGCTGTGTGCTGACTCTGCCCTGCTGCTGTTTGCTAATTGCACACTTCATTAAAGCACTCCAAGCTTATTACAGAATCCCAGAACGGCCTGGGTTGACAAGGAGCACAGTGCTCATCCAGCTCCAACCCCTGCTGTGTGCAGTTCAACCAACAGCCCAGGCTGCCCAGAGCCACATCCAGCCTGGCCTTGAAACCTGGGGCATCCCCAGCCTCCTTGGGCAACCTGTAACAGTGCCTCACCACCCTGTGCAAAAAACTTCCTCCTAACATCCAACCCAAAACTCCCCTGGCTCAGTTTAAAGCCATTCCCCCTTGTCCCATCGCCATCCACCCTTCTGTGCTGAAAACCAAGCCTGAATGTATGAAGCAGAGTTGGTCTCAGAGGTGATTCCCGAGCCACTCCCCACCACCACCACTGCCCTCCCACTCAGCTGGCACCTATTTTTACACCGTGCTTCTATTAATCCATGCCTCTTTAGCCCCTAATTCCCTGCAGAGCCGGCAGAGACCTCACAGAACTGACTGCAGAGCGTGGATGGTGATGGGAAGGGACAAAGTCACACAGAGACACAGAATCTGAGAATGGCTGGGGTTGGAAGGGACAGCAGGGATCACGAAGCTCCAACCCCCCACCAACGCAAGGCCACCAACCTCCCCATTTCACAGCAACCCAGGCTGCCCAGGGCCCCATCCAACCTCCAACCCCTCCAGGGATGGACGGGGCATCGCAGCCTCTCTGCAGCTGCTCCAGCCCCTCCCCGCTCTCACAGCACACAACTTCCCCTGACACCCAACCCCAAGCTGCCCTCCCTCAGCTCCCAGCCGTTTCCCCTCGTCCTGCTGCCATCTCCCCTTGCACACAGCTGCCTCCCCTCCTGGCTGCAGGCTCCCTTCAGGCACTGCAGGCTGCACTTTGCTCACCCCGCAGCTTCTCCTCTCCGTGCTGAATGAGCCCAGCTCCCTCAGCCTGCCTTTGTAGGGAGGTGCTGCAGCCCCGATCATCTCTGTGGTCACCAAACGAGGGAGCACAGCCGGGCTGCAGTGCAGGGGAAAGCAATCTCAGTGCTGACCCTGTGCCTCATATCGCTGTGAGCCACCCGCACTGCGCTCCTCCCTCAACGCCTAATGGTAACGGCGGTGCATGATCTCCTATCGCTCTATGTTAACGACCCCCCAGTTGTTACAGACGGGACACAAAGACAGAAGTCGCTGAGGCCGTCAGACGGTGAACGACGGCGTTCCGGGCCGCAGATCCGGCCGCGCACTCACCTTGGCCCGCGGGATCTGCTGCAGCGCGGCGGAGGAGCCCAGAGGCCGGCAGAGGCCGCGCGGGGCGCGCAGGAGGCCCTGCGAGGAGAGCGGCGGTTAAACGGCGGCGGAGCGACCCCACCGCGCCGCGCTCCTCCCGGCCAACCCCGGAGCCCGCATCCAAACCCGGTCCCGCACCGCCACGCCGCGCCCCGCACCGCCCCCCGCAGCCCCTCACCCTGACCGCAGTCCGCCCTCCACTGAGCGCCGCCATCTTGCCGCCCCACAACGCCCCGCGCCTGCGGCAAGGCGGGTGGAGGTGGTTACAGCGGCTCCGTCCCGTGCAGAGCGCCCCCTGGCTGCCGGGAGGACGCAGGGCAGTTATCTGCCGCGAGGCGCCCCAGCGCTCCCTGGGAGCCCGCAGGACCCCGCCCCAGCACAGCTCCCCGCCCCATCGCTCCCTGCCACCCCAGGGCCCCCACCCCTCCCGGGGGTCTTTTCCGCACCAGGACGCAGCACAGCAGGCTCTCGCTCTTTATTGACCAAGAATGGAGGGGGGGGACAGCAGGAGAGGGCAGGGAGCTGCCGGCAGCCACAGCACAGCGCTGCCGCAGTGCTCCCAGCCACGGACCCCTCCTTGCAGCAACGTGCTCTCAGCGAGGGTGCTGAGCTCAGGACAGGGGGAGCTGAGCTCCTGTCCCCCAGCAGGAGGGGAGCACTGGGGCTCACTTCTTCAGGAGCTGAGCACGAGCCCGGTTCAGCTTCTCCATCACGGCGCTGTCAGTGGCGGCAGAGCACTTGGACAGGACGAGGTTCATCTCAGCCTCGTTCTTGTGCTCGATGGCAGCGTCAGCCGCCTGCTCCAGGTCCCTGGGGGCAAAGCGGGGGCTGAAGGCACCATTTCCCCCCACGTAGTGAGATAAGGTTAGGGTGAGAAAACAGGGCTGTGGGTGCAGGGCTGCCCCCACTGGCAGCAGAAGGATGAGAGTTTCCTTATCCCTCCTGAGCACCCCAAGCCCACAGCCCTGGGAGTGCTGCTGCACCACGATCTCCCTGCTGCCACGAGCCCCAGCCATGGCTCCGGCTTCTTCCTGCCCCCCCAGGCTCAGACAGCCAACGTACCCCACGAGGATGAAGGCCTTGACCCGCTGCTCAGGGGTGACGCGGGGTGCGTACTTCTTGGCCTCATAGCGGTTGTGGTGCTTCACAGCAATCTCCACAAAGGGCTGAGGAGGAGAGGAGTGGGGTGAAGGGAGCCTGCTGTCCCACACCAGACTCCCCCCAGGGCAGCTCAGCCCCACAGCGCGGTCCAGCCCACAGCCTCCTCAAGGACAGCACTGTGTGGACAGAAAGAAGGGCTGGCAGGGAGTGTGGACAGGTCCTCCTCCAGCGAGGAAAGCTCTTACCAGGTACCCAATGGGCGACTTCTTGCTCTTGGAGAACTTCTCCATCTCCTCCCAGTCCCCGCGGGTGGCCAGGGCACTGATCTTCAGCCACCAGTACCTGGGTTCACCAGGAGAACAGCTCCTATGGCTGCCACCACGCTGCAGCCCCCGCCTTAACAGCCATGGGGGGCACCAGGAAAAACCAACTGTGCCCCCAAAGCTGTGACCCATAGCTCCAGTCCAGCGCTGCCCTCATTCCAGACCCACCGCTTGTCGGGGATCTTGAACTCCCTGTACAGCTGCTCGGCTTTCTTGTGGTGACCGTCCTGGATCAGAGTGGAGACAGTGTTGTGCAGAGAGAGGTCGAGGTAGGGCTTGTCAAAGTCCTCCTGGAGGTGTCGCTGGAGCCGCAGGAGCTTGATCTGATCCTCTGTGGCCTGTGGAGTAAAGCACCAGACTGAAGGGTCTCTGACCCAGCAAATGACAGCACTGTCCCAGCCGGTAATCCATACAGCAGCTGTGACCCCAATGAACCCAGAGCTGCCCAGCTGCACTGAGAGCAGGGGAGCTGCTCTTCGCAGCCCTGGTCACACTCACCTTGGCAGCAAACTCGTTCTTGGCCTTGTAGTATTCATCCACAGCATTCTGCAGGGCTCCCACCCGCCCTTCGATGCGCTGGAGACAGAAAACAGACACATCACCCCACGGCAACACAGATGCTGCACTGCAAGGGCACAGGGCAGGACCTCCCCTGATTGGGCTGGGGGGCTTGATGATGCCCTGCCGTGATCACAAGATGAGCAGAGGGCTGGACCCCTCCTCACCCTGGGGGGAGCTGGAGCTCTCCATCGCATACAGGAGGGGCTGATGACTTCCAACACAGGGCCCCAGGGCAACAAGCCCCAGCTCTTTCACTACGCTCCTCCCATGCTGCCAGGCACAGACCTTCTCTGAGTAGCTGGAGTGGACGTGGAAGTTGCCGAGCTCCTGGTGGTTGTCATCCTGGTTGTACAAGTCCTTCAGCGTCTCTCGCTCCTGGTGCTTGCAAAACTGGGAAGCAATAGGTGGAAGTGAGAGCTCGCAGGCACAGTGAGCTGCATCTGCTGCACCACATGGCTCCCAGGTCCCCAGCCAAGGAAGTGGGAAGGGGGACTGTGGGCAGGGCACACAGGGGTTGGGGAGGGAAGATTTAGGCTGGATGTCAGGGGGAAGTTCTTGACAGAGAGAGGTGAGGTGCTGGAACAGCTGCAGAGAGGCTGTGATGCCCCATCCATCCCTGGAGGTGTTCAAGGCCAGGTTGGATGGGGCCCTGGGCAGCCTGGGCTGCTGTGAAATGTGGAGGTTGAAGCCCTGCCTGTGGCAGGGGGTTGGAGCTCCGTGATCCTTGAGGTCCCTTCCAACCCCGGCCATTCTGTGGGATGCCCTCAGCCAGGCTGCATACGGCTGGCAGCCCTCACCTGGCGGTAGAGGCTCAGAGCCACCGGCTGGTTCTGCAGCGTCATGAAGAAGGTGCCACGGTTCAGCTCGTTCTTCAGGTGCAGCACGACGGTGTAGACTGGGGCAGAAGGAGCATTTGAGGACAGGGGACAAGGACACTTCCCCAGCACAGTTGCCCAGGGCAGCACCGCTGGGACACTCAGCCAGTCCTCAGCTCTGCAAGGGCTGTGAGTGTGCATCCACGTGCAGGGCAGAGCCCTTTGCTGCCCCCTTGCCCTGCAGGGCAAGAGCAGCTCCCACCGCCCCATCAGTACAAAGCCATGAACGGGCTCCCCCGGATTCCAAGTCCCTCCCAAGAGAGATTTGCTGCCTGGATGCAGGCAGACCCCTCGGTGTCGGGTTCTGCGGGGTCCCTCCTGCCTCAGGACCCCTCTGTGTGTGCAGGAGCCGCAGCCCTGCCCCTTACCCAGGTCTGTGTCCCCGCTCTCAATGGCTTTGCTCAGGGCCAGCTTGCTCCGCTTCATCTTCAGCAGCAGTGGGACCTGCTCCCCGGAGCGTGGCTCGTACTCCAGCAGCTGAGGCCACCACAGAGGGTGTCAGCACGCAGCCAGGGTCGCCCCGAGCCCTCGGTGCCACCACCCCGGGACGTGCCACAGACCTTGATGGCCAGCTCTGTCCTGCCGCAGTCGTACGCTCGGGCGGCGATCTCAGAGTAGGAGATGCCTGGCGTGTCCCCCAGCTTCTGGTTGATGGCATAAGCCACCTCCTCGTCAGACTTGTCCTTCTGCTGCACCTAGAGCGGAGCGGAGCAGTCAGCACGGCCCCACGTGGCACAGGACCCCCCCCAAAGCCTTCCCTCCTTGCCTTGTAGCAGGCCCAGTGGGCCAGGATGCGGCTGACGCCCTGGATCTCCGGGAGGCGCAGGTACTCACAGATCCGGATGGCCAGGGGGTAGAGCCGCCGCAGGACCAGCCTGGAGGGCACAGGGGGGCTCAGCAGCGTGCTGTGCGAGCAGCCGTGCAGCTCAGCCGGCCTCAGGGGGGTCCCAAGCTCTCAGAGCTCACTCAGCCATCGGCCGGGGGAGCAGAGACTGCACAGATCCCGCAGCAGGGCTGGGCACGGCCTGGGCTGCTCAGGGACAGGGCTATCAAGCCCGGTTTGGAGCAAGCCTTACCTGTCCAGCAAGACCTCGATGGTGAGTCGTTTGTATCTGCACAACAGTCAAGGGCATCTCGGACCCCGCGGAGCGCAGGCAACGCGTGCTGGGTGCCCACCCCCTCCTGGCAGCACCTCCACGGCTGGCACTTGAGCGCAGGGCCGGCTCAGCTCCACGACGGGGGCTCAGCATCACAGGCAGGGGGCTGGGCACAGCAGCGTGCAGTGAGTGCAAGAGGCTGACCCTGCTCTGGGGCCCAGGGCGCAAGCTGCAGCCGAGCACCGCGGGGCCGGCTGATGTGAGGCCGGCTGATGTGAGGCCGGCTGATGTGAGGCCGGCTGATGTGAGGCCGGCTGATGTGAGGCCGGCTGATGTGAGGCCGGCTGATGTGAGGCCGCCCCTCCCCATCCCGTTACATCCCAGCTCCCCGGCCAAGGCTGGCACGGATGGCAGGGGATTCGCACTGCCTGCCAGACTCCACAGTCAGCCCTCCTGCCTGCCCCACGGAGGATACTGGGTGAAGGTGAGGGGGATGCCGATCTGGTAGTCCCGGATGGAGTTGAGCACCCGCAGGTCCTGGCACATGCGCACAAAGCTCTCCGGGGGGAACTTGTCGATGAAGCACTTCCCAAAGGAGGCTGCCTGCAAGAGGAGACCAGTGTGGGATCTGGGGAGAGCCTCCAGCAGGAGGGGAACAGCTTCAGCCTCACCCAGCGCCCCCGTGCCCTCTTCACTCACCCGCAGCAGGGACTTCTGCGTCTCCGGCTCATGCTCATAGCCGGCTGCCTCGATGCACTGGCTCACTGCTTCTGGGAGCAGTTTCTGGTCCTTGATCTCCCTCAGGTACTCATCTGCCTTCTGGCTCTCCTTCTGCAGAGAAGCACAGCCTCTAAGTGAGCTGTGGGACGTGGGACACTGCAGCCAGGGTGAGCGCCGGGTGCGTGGAGCCCCAGCAAGCCAGGGACAGCAGGGGCTGCCTGCACTGCCTGCACAGCAGCACCGTGCCCCCGCAGGGACCTCCAGGCCACCCCCTTTCCCATCACACTGGATGTAATGCTGGGTTTGCATCGGGGCAGCCCAAGGGAGGAGGCAGGCGTGCAGCAGAACGGGGTGCCAAACCTCGTACTCCTTCTGTGCCTCCAGCAGGAGCGCTCCTGGTGCCATGGAAGCGATTTTGAAGATTTCCTGGCTGGCTTCTGCAGAAAGGGGGTAAAAAAAATAAAAGCCAGCATGAGAGGCTGCCCCAGCCCAGATGCACCCAGCCAGGCGCTGCTCCCACCCAACCCTTCTGTAGGCT